AGAAAAACAAGACCTGGGGATGGGGAGTGTCTGGGACTAGCAGATGTCCAGGGTGGGCACAGATAAACTAACTGGTAAGTAGAAGGACAGGATGATTGCTATGTTGGTGGTGTTAATAAAGCCATTAAGCTGATGTAAACATCTACTGGGGAGTATCCAGGACTAGCTGATGTCCAGGATGGGAGCAGTTAAACTAACTGATAAGTAGAAGGACAGAGTGACTGCTATGTCTGTAATGTTAATTAAGCTTGTTGGGAAAAGTAAACGACCCTTAAAGACCACCATCACATTTTTGTATGCATGCCGGAAACTTTCTGGAAAACGATGTAATATGCCCAGTGACTATATAAGGATAGCATGCATGGCAATACGGGAACACACGTCAGGAGGAGCTATCCCCCGTGTCTCCCGGTGCCGCAATAAAGAACACCTGCTTGTCAACTTGAAACTCTGTTGGAGAGGTTGTTCCTGGACTTTTCTCCCAATCACTTGACTGACACAGAATTGATGACAGATCAAATTGATGACCATTGTGTCTGTTTTGACAAGTTCTATTATTATGCTGGTTTATTGGGACAAATACATTTTAAACTGGTGACAACACATGAAGCACTTGCAGCTCAGGAAGCCAAGCGCTGCTGGGCTGTATCAAAACCAGCATGACCAGCAGGTTGAGGGAGGTGATTCTCCCTCTACTCTGCTCTTGTGAGACCCCACCTGCAGCAGTGCTTTCAGCTCTGGGGCAACAACACAAAGAGGGAGCTGGAGTGAATCCAGAGGAGGCCACAGAAATGCCGCAAGGGCTGGAGCAGCTCTGCACTGTTGACAGGCAGAGAGAGGTGGGTTGTTCAGCCTGGAAAAGAGAAGGTGCCTTAAGAGGAGACCTTAGAGCAGCTCCAGTGCCTAAAGGGGCAAACAAGAAATCTGGAGAGGGGCTTTTGACAGGACAAGGCAGAATGGCTTTAAACTGAAAGAGATTTAGATTGGACATTAGAAAAAATTTCTTCCATGTGAGGGTGCTGAGGCACTGGCACAGGTTGCCCAGAGAAGCTGTGGCTGCCGCATTCTTGGCAGCGTTCAAGGCCAGGCTGGATGGTGCTTGGAGCAACCTGGTCTACAGGAAGGTGTCCCTGCCCATGGCAGGGGGTTGGAACCAGATGAACTTTAAGGTCCTTTCCAACCCAAACCATTCTATGATTCTGTGGCAAGTATCCCAGCAGCTCTGCAGGAGCCATTAGGTGCAGGCTGGCTGTTTTCGTCTTCAGCTGTGGATTTTTGGAGTTAATAGGACAGAGCTGGAAAGGAGCAGCACGGAAAGGACCAGCAGCCTTGCTGGGCAGTACTTCAGTGCAGCTTTTGACACCACTTCATATAACCATGGAAGCAGAGTATCTCGAGTTGGAAGGGACTGGTGAGGATCACCAAAGCCAACTGCTTGCTTCTCGCAAAACTCCCGCAACTCTAACAACTCTTGACTTAAACTATAAAAGAAAAACAATGCAGTGTGCGTGTCTTGCATGGAAAAGTGGTTGTGCAACAGGGAGGGCTGGTCCGGAGGGTGGAGCTGAAGAGAATCCCCAAACACCGAGCCCGGTCTGTGCGGGGCTGTGCCGGCAGACTGGCTTACGGGACACAGCCCTCGCACAACACCCACTTCAGACTGTGCAGACAGAACCAGATAGGGGTGCCTCCCGGACTGTGCCGACTGTATGGGCGGCCGAACCGCGCAGTTATTTGCCCGGCCATGTCACTTCATTCCTAAAACCGTCGAACGCGTCCACCCTGTTAGCGTCGAGACAAACACATAACCACCAGGATGGTTATATGAGGTGCTTTATTGAGGCCCCAGGAACCAGGGGTACGCACCCAAATCTGGTTCCGATTCCCGACACATCGCGTTCGCAATTTATACACTAAAAATTTCGTAACTAATACATATTCAACACAGATTACATCATTGACTAATACATATGCATCAAAGATTGCTACATCAGTTTATTACGACATCAGCCTCTTCTGCGCTTGCGTCGCCCCCTCTGGTGGTCGTCCTGATGAAGTAAGGAGTCTTCCTCAGATGAAGTAAGAAGTCTTCCTCAGGACCTTTTCCTTACTTGGATATATCCCAATCCTTGTGTGGACGCTAGCACTTTCTTATCAGCTTCTGGTATGCTCTTCTGGCTACCTTATGCATAGGTTCCATCTGGGTATAGTCTCCAGTACATACCTTTCTAAATCCACCCATACACATATCATTGCAACACTGGTTACAGAACAGCCGTGATACAAAATTGTAAAGTTACAATATTTTCTAATATACAAAACCTCACTATTGATTTATAAATTTCTCAAACATAATCAATTCTACTATTTTATATAATTATTGTAAAAACTTCACCCTCTCTAACATTTGCCCCCTTTGAAAATACTTCATTTAACTTAAGCAAGTATTTTCATTCTCTTAGGTAGCTGTCTCCTGATAGGTAGGTGGAGGTGTGGGGTTCTTTGGATATTCCCTAATTACTGCTCCTATGATTCGATGAGTCCAAGCACTGTTGCCAGCTATTTTCCTTCGGATATAAAGATACATCAGATATGTCATCAAAAACACAATGAATATTACAATTGCGGTGTGTATGAGGGAACGAATCCATCCAGTAAGGTGAAGGCCCAGACTGTTAAATATTGCTCCTAGCCAATCCTGTTCAGCCTGTTCTTTTTCCTTTTCTAGTTCTCGTTCAACGTTGGTTAGTTGGGAAATGTCATGTTCTATATCTGCAGTCACATTAGGAATGTGAATACAGCAATGATCCACTCTGTCCTTTAAATATTCACAGACACCATGTTCCTTAAGTAACAACATGTCTAATGCCATTCTGTTCTGCAAAGTCATTTTAGTTGTTGCCTGTAATTGCAAATTTAAATCTTTGAATCCTTTCTTTGTTATCCTGGCTAATCTTTTTGTTTGGCCAATCAGGCTGTCAATCATCTCTCTATTTCGATATGCTGCTACTTGGGCAAATAGGGATTCAAAAGCCCATCCTATTTTAACTCCTGTGGAGGGTTCCTGCCAAGTGTCTTCATCGTCACTATCAACCCGACGCTTGGCAATAACAGCGGCGATCAATCTTATCTCGGTGATGATTTAACTGACGCCGCTGCCCCGCATCAGCTGTGCCCGGCCATGTTTGGGACAGCCGCAGCCTCCCTCCCGCCGCCACACCACCCTCCGGCGGGCACGGCAGGACAGCCACAGCCACAGCCACTGCTCCCCGCATCCTGAGCCCCGCCCGCCCCGCAGTGCTCTCGGCATCCCCGCTAACACCGAGGGCCGTCCTCCTCCCGGTGCTGTGACTACAGCTCCCAGAGCACCCCACACCCAGCAGCCCCGCCCCGCCCCGCCGCATGTGAAAGGTGAACGCCGTCGTCACTTCCCCCGCGCGGTGCAGGCCGGGAATGCGAGTCGCGATTGGCCGGCGCCCGCGCCGTTCTGCAGCGTGCCGGGGAGCAGGAAGAGGTCGCGGCGGAGCGGGCTCGGCGGGGCGGCCCTGCTCGCGGTGAGTACCCCTCCGGACCACCTTCTCTCGCCGCGGGGCGCCGCGCAGGCGGGCCGGGAATCGAAAAGGGATCGATTTAATGCGCGCTTTGATGACGTAATAGGGGCTACCGAGGCGGCGGTGCCGCGGAGCCTATGGCTCCGGCCGGCAGCGGCCGGGTGGCCTCCCCGGCGCGCTGCGTGGAACACTCATGGCCGAGGGCGGTCTCTCGCTCGGCTCTCGGGGCGCCCGTGCCCGGAGGACGCTGGCGAGGTCTAGGCCTTCCGCCTTCTCCCGCTCCTGAACTGGGCGGGCGCTCATTGGCTTCGCGGTCTGGGGCAGGCTCTGCCGCCGCACTGCGATTGGCGGGGGTGGCGCTGACTGCCATCAGCGCCCTCCAATCGGGCCAAGGTGCGGGCGCGGGAGGCCGCGGCTCGGCAGTGGGGGCGCCGGGGCTGAGGCGCGTTGGGGGTGGGGGACGCGTGCGGCCGCCGGGGACCAGCAGGGGCGGAGCCCGCGGGAGCCGGAAGATCTGGGGGGGGGGGGGGGAATGAAAAGGCTCTCCCCGCCTCGGGGCGCGCTGTGGTGCGACCCGGCTGTGGCTGAGGCGGCTCGGGGGGAGCGCGGCCTCGCCTGTGGTGGCTGGGATGGGGCGGTGTTCGCCGTGTCCGACGGCGGCGGCGGCGGCTTCTGAGAAGCCTGCGGCGAAAAGCACAGGCAGCTCTCGCCGCTCTGGTGCCTGGAAGCGACCGCCGCCACCACACGCCCTTCGGGTAGCGCTTCCTGAAGCGGCTGCAGCCAGATGGCGGTGGCTTGGGCAGAGCTCTGCGGGCTGCTTCGGCGCGTCTGGGTTGCCCTAACGCTGTTCTGCCTGCCTGCATTCCCGTGCGACCAGTGAGGGCAAGGACAGGTGTCGGGTGCTTCAAAGCTGAGGAGTTCCGGTTGTAGTCCAGGACAGTAATAAGACTGGTTCACAGGGTAGAATTGTAAAAGCAGATGTGCAAATCATACAGGTCACATGAGATGTGCTTGGTGTTACATGCTGATAAGGTTACGTCAGTTTTTTACTACCTTTCCCAAGAAAATCAAGCTAAACAGTCAGGTAGTCCAGTTCCCAGCACTTCTGTGTGAGCCTACTCATACGTGGCAGCTTGAATCACGCCTGCCTGCCTGCCTTGCCCTCGTGCTTTTATCAACTGTGTCATTCACTTATTCCCTCAAAGTTATGCTCTTACTGATTATATGCTATTCTGTTGGGCTTTTCTTCTGCAGTATCACTGAGTTTTTAAAATGCAAGTACTCAGTGAATGCTGCAATCACATTTAGATATGCAATAAATTCACACGTTTTACTAGTTCTTTGTTAATTCATGACAATAAACTAGCTATTGTAAATTGTACGTTTTCTTATTCATGCTTTTTTAAGCGTTCTAAGATAAAAACTTAGAATTGAGAGGTTACTCCATTATTTTGAGGCTTTTTATGGTAACATCCCTACAGTCATTCAATTTGAAAATAAAGTGTATTTAGGTAGGTGGAAATCATGAGAGCTGGAGGCCAAAGTATTGTTTGATTTAATGTCTAAGAAATTATGTGTTTAACTGCAAGTCATCTGTCCTTTTATGAAGTGTCAAAAATGTGCACGAAGAATTATACAGTGAAGAAAATGCCTGACAACTTCCCTTGTGAGACTATATGGAACACCAGATGGCAGAAAAAGGCAGGAACTGCTGGTCATCTGTATTAAACCCATTGTTCCAGATGAGATGAAGTGAATGCAGCAGCAGCAGCAGCAGCATCTCCTCTCTTCCACCTCATCTTCCCCTTGTCCTCACAGGCTGGTCTCCTCCGACCCCTGTAAGACCCTGATAGGTATTTCAGCATCTGCTTGGCAAAGCAGTAATAGCAGCTGCAGGTAGGCTTCCATAGGTGGTTGCTTCTGCTATTCTTTTTTTTGTGCTCTTGGCAAAATGTCTTCTTTGTGTGCCAGTTTTTCTGAGACGCAAGAAGGAGCATGAAGTTGTGGTGAAACAGCAATTCCACCATTTCTTTATGACTGTTAGGAAGGTCATAAGAAAGTAACTTTGCTTTTATCGTAGCTGGGTTATTTTTTCTACTTGTATCAAACCCTATATACCCTTATGTGCGTTTGCTATAGGTGAGGTAGAATTTACACAGTCACACAGGGAGTTAGGAAGCGTGGTGACATGAGCTCAGATGTGTTCAGTACACACTAGGAACTGTTTTGTAGTTAGGACTTTCTGATTCAAGTCACACACAAAAAGGATCTGCAGCAGAAGCTGGGAATCACCTGCTTTATAGATTCTCCTAGCACTTTAAAGAAAACTGCTTCTTTGCCACACCAGAAGTTTCCATCTCTGTTTTCAGTGTTTGGTTTGATACTGGCTGCTCTCCTGATTTTCTTGGCCATACCAAGTGTATCAGTACAGTGAAAGGTATGTCTCATTCATTTAAGACTCATTCAAGCCTAATCAGAAACTACGTGTTCTTCAAAGTGAGTAAGATTGCTGCAAAGGGACAATGTTCCTGTGCTAATGTGACTTTGACCTGCTTACGCTATTTTCTGCGCCATTCTCATGTGAATGTGGGAGTTAGAGATGAGTGCTGCTCCACAGATCTGAATCATTTTGCCTGGAGTTAATTTGTGAAATCCTTTCATTGAAGTGCTTGGACTCTCTCCCAGTGTTCTTTCACATAAGCAGCAGACTTAACATCCACATCTCATCAAAAGGCAGAGTTCTGCTAAACCTTTTCAGGTTTGAGACCCTCTGCAACTCCCACCCACAGCTATACTTACTGTGTAAGTAAGAGAGGAAGAACCATCAGATTACAAGTGTATCTGTCTCTTTTGAAAGGTTGACAAAGAATGTTTTACCTTGTAGGGGGAGAAGTTTAAATAGGCTGGTGAATAAGACACTCTTTGCTCTTGGGTGTGACAGCATGTTAAATCACTGGCTGCCTGTGTACTCAGAAACTGAAAAGTGCTGCTTATTACATCATTATTTAAAGGAAGTAAATATCTTGTGTTCCTTGGGTGCAAAATGTGACATAAATATGAAAATGTTAAGAACTGTTCTTCCACCAAATGGGTTGGTGGAATTGCAAGAAGTAACTGTATAAAGATTCTGACATTATGCTACTGAGATGTCGTAGAATAGGTAGCTCTGAAAATGTTGTATCTCTGCAGCATGTGCTTTTGTAGAGGTGGGTCCCTGCAGAATCTGTAGAGTAAAGAAATACACTTACCCACTTTGAATGTTCTTTCTGTGTATAAATAAGATTCTACATCATTAAGTGTACCATCACCTACCTGTCAACTAAAATGAGGTAAAACTGTTCTAAGACAAATTAGTGTTTCTGTTGTTTTTGTACTCCCTTAATAGTGCTAGCTAGTTCATGTTTGTATACTAACCTGACTGTTAGTATTTACCAGCTGGCACACTGTTTTTATCCTCCTGCCATATCTTTTGCAGACTAATCCTTTTACCATGGAAGCTGAAGAAACGATGGAGTGTATCCAGGAATTCCCTGAACACTATAAAGTTATTTTGGATAGACTGAACGAACAACGTGAGCAGGACCAGTTTACAGATATCACTTTGATTGTTGATGGTACGTACAGGCTCATGTTCAGTTTCTCATAAGCCACCACCCGGAAGTCCTTCTCTGCCCAGCCTGCAGCTGTGCCTGGAATTGCCCCGACCCAGGTGTAGGACCTTGCACTTTGCTTTGTTGATCTTCCTCAGGTTGGTATTGGCCACCTCTCAAGTTTGTCAAGGTCCCTCTGGATCTCATCCCTTCCCTCCAGCGTATCAACTGCACCACACAGCTTGCTGTCATGAGCAAACTTGCTGAGGGTGCATCAATTCTAATGTCCATGTCACTGACAAAGATGTTGAACAGTATCAGTCTCAACACTGATCCCTGGGGGACACCACTCATTACTGGGCTCCAACTGGACATTGAGCCGTTGACCACAACTCTTTGCGTGAGGCCATCCAGCCAGTTCTTTACCACCGAGTGGTCCAACCATCAAATTGATGTCTCTCCAATTTAGAGACAAGGATGTCATGTGGGACAGTGTTGAATGCTTTGCACAAGTCCAGGTAGATGACATCAGCTGCTCTACCCCTGTCCATCAGTTCCATAGCCCCATAGTTCCATAGAAGGCCACCAAATTGGTTAGGCAGGATTTCCCCTTAGTGAAGCCATGCTGGCTGTCACCAAGCACCTTGTTGTTTTTCATGTGCCTTAGCATGCCTTCCAGGAGAATCTGCTCAAAGATTTTGCCAGGCACAGAGGTGAGACTGACTGGTCTGTAGTTTCCAAAGTAAAGTAAGCAAATGAAATAAAAATTACACTTCAGGAACTGTGGTAGCTTCACCTGCAGCACTCACACAAAGCTTAGCTTGAGTGCTTGTTCCTGCTCTGGTACTGCCAAATCCACGTGTTGAGCTCAAAGCTGCTTTTGTGTGCAGCTGTGTAGTTATAATCCATGTTGCTTCTCTTCTCGCTGTCTCATGGAGCCTCTTGGATGTTCATGCCCAGGGGAAGGCAACGTAGTGATGTGGAAGAGCAGAACCTCTTCTGTTCTGCAGTGGTATTTGTGCTGGCAGAAAGGAGATAAAATACATCAGTCTGTAAGAGCAATAAAAACCAAGGAGAACCTGGGTGAAACCTGGGAGCTGAGTCCAAGACATACAGGAAAAAGTTTGCCTAGGAATTTCCCATGACTTAAATATCTGAAAAGAGAAACTCTATAGTGAGTGAGCCCTCCAGCTGACTGAGTTGCAGAACTTCTGCAAGGTCTAATGTCAGCAAAGGTCTGCTGTGGTAGTATCCCATGTTCCGAAGAGAAATACTAAGTGACTATATGCTGCTGGAATAGATTTGTAGACTGGATGGTCTCTTTTCTGCATCTGCAGTTATTCCTCAATGTGGGTGAGGAAGATGTTACCCTAAACAAAAATTTTTGTCTCTTTTTGCAGGTCACCATTTCAAAGCTCATAAGGCTGTTCTTGCTGCCTGTAGCCAGTTCTTCTACAAATTCTTCCAAGATTTCACTCAGGAGCCCTTGGTGGAGATTGAAGGTAATCTGATTTGTGCAAATAAAACCTTCAGAATTGTGTGCCCAAACTGGAAATGAATGTAATATCCTTAGTATGGGCTAACAGGCATGCTTGGTCATATCAATTAGCTTTCCACATCTCAGCTCTTGTGTTGTTCTGAGGCAGCTACCACCACTGGAAAAAAAACCTCTGCTGAAGACAAAAAGAAAATACCCAGTCATGAAATCTTTTGGAAAGGAAAGTGTGAGGTTCCATGGATGGTTTGGGTTTTTTTTTTCCCCTTTTTTTCTTCCCCCAGGTACATGGCTAATGGAGGTCGGGCATACCTCCTACGTTTTTAGGACTAGCAGTGTGACATACAATCTTTTCCCTGAGAACAGCCATTCTGGTGAGATGAAAAAGGGTGAGATGAAAGAGGACAACCAATGGCAGATGCCTTGGCTGGGATGCAAGAACAGGATAGACATGGAGCAATACTTGCCTGGTAAACATGGAGCAAATTCCTGGAGCAGTATCTCAGCCTCCAATAAATTGCTGCTGAAAAGTCTCTTGGGAGAGAGGTTATATTTCTGTATTCATACTTTTTATTATTCATCTTATTGTCCATCTTATCATTCCTTTTATCTTTGTTGTGATATAACTCTGTACTTGTTCCAGATTCATGTGTTTCTATAGTAGACTTTTTATTCCAACATGATCCCTTTAAGGGTGTCATCTTTATGAAACTGGGAGCTACAGTACTATGAACAAAATGGTGAGCGGGTGTATGCAAGATTCATCAGATAGATAAGTCTGAGAAAACAGTTGTTTTTCTTGCCTTGATACAGGTGTAAGTAACATGGCATTTCGTCACCTAATTGAGTTCACATATACAGCAAAACTAATGGTCCAAGGTGAAGAAGAAGCAAATGATGTTTGGAAAGCAGCTGAGTATCTACAGATGTTAGAAGCCATCAAAGCACTTCAAATCAGGTAAGCCCATAAACCTCTCTTTCTTCCCACCACTGAAATGTAGAGTCACAAGAATATTTTTACAGGAGCTGGCTTGCAGAATTCTGTTCCTTCTCCTGGAACCTCCTAAACTTGTATGGACCACATACTCTTCTATAAGATACAAGTCAAAATTATACAGGCTAAAAAAGGAATGTCACACTCTTTATGTTGGAGCTCAGTGATAAGTGACGTGGCTAGGTAAATGTTGCAGACATTTTAGGGCTATGACTTTGTGATAACTAATACCATGTCTCTGTGCTATCTAACTGTCCACACCTGATTGACAGCTGTGGAGTGACAATGGGCCTCAGGTAATTAGACCACATTAACAAGTTTGTGCTGGTGCTTTGATTTTGTGAAGCTTTCTGCTATTTCTGAGAGAATAAGCAGCGGTTTTAAAACTTCTTGCTGCAAAATTAACCTCTCAAATTTCTTGAACAGTTCTAATCAGTTTTATACAGGATCAGTAGTTATGGAAGGATGCTGTGGCACTTTTTTTTCCAGTACCAGCAACTGTACTCCATTGACAAGCTCCAACCTGAGAAAAGCAGGTGCTAGTGCCATCATGCTGTTTTTCTGCAGCTTCCTTCCCTTTCAGAAAGTGCCATCGCATCCTCATTCCTTCATGAGGAACATCTGCATGCTCTGTCTGTGTGGAGGAAGGGGCAATAAATGCTTCCAGCATTGCAATTATTATTTTCTCTTCTAGGCCTGCTGAAAGGTCTTTGCATTCAGGCTAAGAAAAGACTTGCTTCCTTAAGAGTGGCATTAGCTCCAAGTTCCTCTAGTAGCTAGATAACATTTGTTTAAAAAAAATCTCCACCACATGGTATGCTGGAAACTTGGTTTTCAACATCAACATTTATTTCCAAATTAAATGCTACTCTGTTAGCAATAGAGCTGAATAAGTATGTGACTTTTTTAATAGGAAAGATACAGGATTGTGCATTTCTAGTCCTACCCTCCAACCTTACAAACAGCCTTTTTAATATTGTTAAGACTAAGTATGGTAACACCAAAAGATTATTAATTTTGGTTGGTTGGTTGATTTTTAAATTCTGGAAGAAAAGCAGACTGTAGCTGCCTGTTTGGGGAATTCAAAAGAAACTTGAAAATGTGTGTTCAAGTTTGTATCACTTTGAGTCAGTGTACACTACTACAGCTATTGAACGATGATTCACAGAATCATCTCTGTTGGAAAAGACCTTTAAGATCATCAAATCCAACCATTACCTCAGGACTGCCAAGTCCACCACTAAACCATGGCACTGAGGGGCTCATTACACATTTTTTGAACACTTCCAGGGACTGTGACTCCACCACTGCCCAGGGCAGCCTGTTCCAATGCCTGAGCACCCTCTCTGTTAAGAAATTGTTCTTCATATCCAATCTAAGCCTCCCCTGATGCTGCTTGAGCCTCTTACCTCTTGTCCTATCGCTTGTTTCTGGGGAGAAGAGACCAGCCACCTCTTTGCTCCATCCCCTTTTCAGGTAGTTGTAGGGAGCAGTAAGGTTGCCCACTGAACCTTCTCTTCTCCAGACTGAACAGATCCATCTCTCAAGCTAAACTGTCCAGCCTGCAATTATGTCCCACTATTACATGATGTTATGTAGTTTCTTGGTTATGCACCACTAGTAAATGTCGTAATTCTTATGTTTCTGGGAAACAAAATGTTTTGCTTAATGAACGCACATGCAAGCCAGTCTATTCTTAGAGTTATTCCCATTGTTTATGAGTTTTGAAGTGAGGGTTTTTTAAGTTTTCTGGGTTTAGTTTGCTTTGCTTTGGGTTGTTTGGTTGGTTTGGGGATTTTTTTGGTTGTTGTTAGAAAGACAAACTTGTGTACTACTGTCAGTTTCTGTTTTCTCCTCCACAGTAAGAGGGGGAAGAATTGCAATACAGTGCCTCAGTCAGAGCTTTGACTGAAAGGGGTAAGCTTGAGAAACTTAGAGATGAAAGTACAGATGATTACAGAACTATTTGTATAATACATCAGAATTGCACATTACATTTGACTAGAAAGAAAACAACCAGCTGCTGTTACTTAAAGTGCTTTCACTAGTGTTGTATGTGTGTATCCCCATCCAAAGTTTCACACAGTCAACAATGATAGTCTCCACTTTGTTAAGCAGATTATTCTTGTGATGTGTGATCTTGTAGCTCCTTGCAGTAATGTGCAAAGTAATTGATATCTTCTAGGTATCAGGAGTCCAGGCTAGCTGCTCTCTCTGTCTTCTGTGTCTGAGTAAGGTGCAATTTAATAAGCTGTATCCTCCATTAGATCATCAGTTGCACATCTCTGACATCAGGCTTTGCACAGTACCTGTAAGTTGTATCTCTCCTATTACTAGAAAACATGAAGTGGTAGGGAATAGATTACATGAAAGGATTCATTATGCTGCAAAGGAAGGTAAGAGCACAGCTTACTTCTGTCACTCTCAAGTGGAAGATAGCCACTCATTTTTGAAACTGATTATCAGTAGTAAAATCTCCAGTGCATTAAGTGCTGCAGATGATTTTGAAGGTGTGACTGGAAAGCATTGACCCACTTGGCTCTGTCTGTGTTTGAGATGGCATGCCGTCCCTCACATCTTGGAGGAAGGGGGCTGCGTGTATATGATCCAGGGAGAATAGGAGCAGAGCTGGGGGTTGGTTGTGTTTAAGCCCAGAGAAGTAAACAATAAACTTTTCACACTCCACTGTCTTTCATTTTTACCTCCCCTGTTAGCTGTATTCTTTCCAGAAGTACGACAGGTGTTAATGGTCATTGTGTGAAGTCACACCTGTAGTGTTTTTGTAGCAAGCTGTAAGCACCGCAGGCAATTGCACATACTCCAAGAGTTTAAGAGGTGAAAGGCATAGGAAGGTCTTGAATCTTGTTTCTGAGTAGGTAGGCCAAAGAATTCCTTCCCTGGGGGGTTTTCTTTCCAAGTACAGAATTTCACAGGTTTCTTAGGCCAGTTAACCTCATGACATAGGTTTATCTTTCTTCTGGATAGGTGCTTTGTATCATGCAAGCAGACCTGTTTAAAACTCTTCAGTTGCCTATGTCAAAGGCTCTTCAGCTTTAACCATGCTATTCTACAACTCTAAGGAATATAGATAAAGGACAAACTAGCTTCTGATATGCACACAGATTATGTGTGCATTCATCATTCAGCTTTCTTGAGAAACAGCTGAAGAGTGTTAGATATTGAAGCTCACTGTTAGGTAGGAATTATGTCAGTGCTTATGAATCTTAACCATGTTTATGCAAACGCTTTACAGGAACAAAGAAAACTCATCTCCTTTAGACTCAAATCAAGCACAAGGAAACAAACCAAAAAAGAGGAAGGTAGCTGAAACCTCTAATGTTATCACAGAAACACTTCCATCTGCAGAATCGGAGCCTGTGGAAATTGAGGTTGAGATTGCGGAAGGCACAATTGAAGTGGAAGACGACAGCATTGAAACACTTGAAGAAGTGGCTTCTGCAGAGCAATCCATAAAGTACATACAGACAACAGGTACATCAGATGAATCTGCACTGGCTCTTTTGGCAGACATCACCAGCAAGTATCGTCAGGGGGAGAGAAAATGCCAGATCCAGGAAGAAGGTGATAGTGCAACTGATACCTCGTGCAAACAGGTAGAAGGTATTGAAATTGTGGAACTTCAGCTGTCACACATGAACAATTTATTCCACTGTGAGAAATGTAATCGTTCGTTTAAATTGTTTTACCATTTCAAGGAACACATGAAAACACACTCCACTGAGAGTTACAAGTGTGACATATGCAATAAAAGGTACCTACGAGAGAGTGCTTTGAAACAGCACCTCACCTGTTACCATCTTGATGAAGGTGGTGCCAGCAAGAAGCAAAGACCTGGCAAAAAAATACATATATGCCAGTACTGTGATAAACAGTTTGATCACTTTGGACATTTTAAAGAGCACCTCCGGAAACACACAGGTAAGAGCACTGCTATAGTCCTGTCCTTGTAGCCTTGGCTCTAGGATTTGGGGGATTTGCATGTTTTGGGGAAATGGAGAATATACTGATGAGAGCACATGACCCTTGAGTGCTAGAAATACTTGGCTTCTAGTTACAACTAAATGCTGGGTTTTGTTTGTTCATTTGTTGTTTGGTTTTGTCTGGGTTTTTTTCTGTTGATGTAAACTTGTAATGGAGTGAGGTGGTTAAAAACCAGAAACCAATAATGAAGCTTCTCTCTCAAGTCTATTAAAGATGTTTCCAAAATTATTTCTTAAGGCATGTTTCCTTCTTCAAGAATACAAAGCTGAGAAGTGTCTTTTATTTTCACAATTCTAGGAGTAAATATTTCTGTTGAAATATGATCTGACCTGTGAACTTCTCAATGGAATACTGTTTAGAGGTGTTTTTATCTAATAGAACTGAGCAAATGCCTATTAATGCATTAGGCATAAATACAACCTAACAATTCCCTCTTGTACTACCTTGTTTAAAAAGCTTCACCCTTGCTCTTAACATCTCATCTATGGCTTGATTTTAATTTGTTAATTTACACAGCAAAACACTTCTAGTGACTGATGCACACTGTCTTTTTTTCTCTGAAATGTACCTGTTTGAAATCTGAATAGCATGTTTTGAGTACAAAATTACTTGTGCTTCTTCTTTCTTCTTCTACATGGGAGGTTAAGATATTACTTCTTCATCTCACTGAAAAGTCTGCCATCTGAACAGATACTGAGGTTTATATAATGTAAAATGTATGTAATCCTGATTTTCCAGATGTTTTTGTTTAATATGTCAGTCACGAGGTATCAGTAAGAACTGAATGGAAGGTAGTGGCCTTGTTTCTTTTGCAGATTCTTATTGTTGTTAAAGCCTGCAAATTTAAAGAATCTCATTTCTTTGTATCTGTATGTGGGACTGCTGAGTATTGATATAAGACACTGTGTCCAGTCTGTTCCCAGTAGCCCTTAGAAGTTCCATTTATAAACAGTCTTTGGCAAATCCTCATCTCCTAAGAAGCAGGGGGTGTTTCTCTATTAAGAGCAATCCAAAACAGAGAAAAGTTTGTGGCAGACCAACAAAGTAAGCCAAAAATCACAGTATGTTGGTTGCTGTTGTGACAAAGAATTTTGGGGACCAAGCAACTTAGCCTATCACAGGAGGTACAAAGTACTTCATAAATATATATTGATACAAGAATAGCTCATGGAATCTAATTGCTTCTGATTTAGCATTTTCAAAGACCTTAAGCTTAGCATCAAAACAGATACTATTATTTAACTGTGGTCTGCTCTAAGACCAGTGGAAAAAACCTCCTATTCAGCTTAAGGCTAAGTTCTGAATTTTGTCTAGCACTGGTTGAATGCTAAAATGAAATTAAAAGGCCTGGGAGAAAATGTCCTACAAAGCATTTGATCCCATTCCTGCTTCATCATACCTTCAACAATAGCATGAAATAAATAGACACCTTCTCAGGGTTGATAATTCTTTTTGATATAGGAGTTTGACATTACCAATGGCTATTTGTCTTAATAAAAGAAAGGAAGGACAGCCATGGAGTTTCTCTCATTCATGTGCACAGAGCCTTAAGCAGCTTCTGAGTCAATGAAAATACACCTCAGAAATGTCTTGCATGCCAGAGTAACAGTCATCTCCAGAACTTAGAAAGAGGAAAGGGTTTTGGTGTGATCTGATTTCCCCTTTGTGAGTATGGATGATATGTCATTTGCTTATCGTAAGTAATGCATGGGAGAGAAACTCCGCAAGGCTACTCTTAAGTAATGCGTATCTTTTACATTCTAATTCAGTTTACACAGAAGGAGCCATTTCCTCATACAGAAATTGATCTTGGAATGAAGCTACTGCTCTCAATATGCTGGTCTAATCCTGCTATTCTGCAAAACTTGTTTTCTCTAGCAGAGACACTGAACAGCTTTGATTCCTGCTGATTTTACTTGATTATGTGTGTGGAAGTGATCAGGAGTGATTTACTTGATTATGAGTGAAGGTGGAAGTGAAAGAGTTGTGATGTGCTCCAAGCAGCCAAATTAATCGGCCTCATCTGAAAAATCTATAGCTGAAGTAAACTGTATACAAACTTCTTAAAAAAAAAAATAATCAAGGTCTTTGCCATTCTTGGAAAAACAAAAATATATTTTACAGGAGGTTTAGTCTGAACTGTGAGTACTGTCTTCTATAGCAGTGAATAAATTAACTTTATTTACATACCTTCAATAAATTATTCTGTCCTGTGGGTTACTTAGGACTGGCAAGTGAATTCTCATCCATTCTCATAAAGGGAGAAAAGATAATCATTAGATCAGGCCAGAAACCCCATTCTTCATAAAATCTTCATAAAATCTCACTTACCTGAAACTAAACTCATAGTTGGATGACACACAGGGGAGAAGCAGAAAGTTGTCACCTTCAGCTGAGGAGGTTAGCTCCAGTTTACCAGTGTGCACCTCTGAGAATAAAGAAGGGAAGAGAGCTGGCACACTGTGTTTTCCATCACTGCAGTGATGCACTGCCATTGTACAGCCCAGGTCAGAGCATTGATTTGCACTGTGCAAAAAGTCACACAGTGTCTTTTGGATGTTGCCACCATTATATTTGAATTGTCACTTTCAGACACTTCTGGCAGAATATGTTAGAGATTACTGAAGAATTCGAGTAAGACCAGATCACAGGGAGGGGGGTCTGTGGTGTGAGGTTTATTGTGTAGTATTTATTGGTTTCTTGGGCAAAGTCCATGATTTTTGATCTGCCAGACTGACGGCAGTTCAGCATCCTCTGCATTACCTGTCCAGCAGTCTTCAAAACATACCATTTTGTAATAGTTAAGGGAAATGTTCTCAACTTTTAACATATTTTTTTTGTAGCCTTCAGTTGTGTAAGGGAGAATTACAGGCTATTTGTGGATTTCTTCTGAAAAGCTAATTAGGATCTTCCAAATATTTTTTAAACTATCTAGGATACAATCCTTATGCTATTACAGTAAAATGTCTCAGCCTCTTTTGGAGTTTAAGTTGTTCATTTCGGTAGTGATGTGGTATCAGTATCTCCACAGATTAATTATCAGAATTTTAGAAGAAACACAGTTCCTTATTTTTTGTACTTTTAATTCCCTTGAATTTCATTGTGTTTGTGCATGATGAAATTAGTAAACAGAGACACCAGCTGTTCTTTGCTATTGCTTGATGACAGTAATAACAATACATTACATTGGATGAAAAAGAGAAAATGACCTGTTTCCAGCTGTCATCAGCTGGCTTTGTGTTTGGTACCAGGTTTGAAATGAAGGGGCCAAACTGAAAACAATTTTTTTGTTGCTTGTGCCCATTTATGTCCTCTGTGTTTTCTCTTCACTGTATTTTGGGAGGGAGGGGGTGTTGGTTGGTTGTTTTGATACTGATGCATTGTTATTTCATGGTCATTCCATGCCAACTTCTTTTTCTGGAGCTCAATTTCAGCTCTCAAGCTGTTATTGTTCTTGAAAATAAAATTTTGTATTATTTAAATCCTTCCTTCTTTAATGTATCACTTTGTATATTTAATAATGTTGATTCTTTAATTGTAAATATTATCAGACCAAAAAAAATTCTTTAATTCTAATATTATCAGACAAAAAGAGAGCTGCTATTTCTTTAAGATATTTCATCAAAATAGTGATCTAATTTCCATGAAAACTTAAATGGACTTTAAATGACACTGGTAATTGTTACATGTTACATTGTTACATGTTAATGGTGGTTTCTCTAAATGAGAAGTATTAGGGTTTTACCCTTTTATTTATATAAATGAAGTTTACATAGAATGTCTTTTTTTCTTCTGTAGAATAATCCAGTTGGTCATGTCTTTACAGGATATTTATCAACCTACACAAAGGGAGAGAGAAAGCTGTCAGAAAACTGGCTGGGTTTATACACTTACAAATCCCTATATCTGTCTTAACAGGTGAAAAACCATTTGAATGTCCAAACTGCCATGAACGTTTTGCTAGGAATAGCACACTTAAATGTCACCTGACAGCCTGTCAGTCTGGAGCTGGAGCTAAAAAGGGAAGAAAGAAGCTGTATGAATGTCAGGTGCGTAATGGAAGTACGAGACTCAGGCTACATACCTCCTTCCTGTGCTGATATTATAGCAGCTTTTCAGTACCTAATGGGCCTACAGGAAATCTCAAGAGGGACTTTATAAGAGCATGTACTGGTAGTACAAGGAGGAATGGCTTTAAACTGACAGAGGGGAGATTTAATTTAGACATTAGGAAGAAGTTCTTTACTGTGAGGGTGATGAGGCACTGGGACAGGTTGCCCAGAGAAGCTGTGACTGCCCTATCCCTGGCAGGCCAGGCTGGATGGGGCTTGGAGCAACCTGATCTAGTGGAAGGTGTCTCTGCCTGTGGCAGTGGGGCTGGAACTGTATGGTCTTTAAGGTTACTTCCAACCCAGAACATTCTGTGGTTGCCGTGAACCACAGTATGGCTCTCTGGTGCACTGGCTCTCTGGCTCAGTCTTTCTGTGCTTGCTTTCTTGTGTGTGCTGTCTCTCATGGACACTCACTCTCTGTCTCTCTTTCTCCTTTGCTCTTGCACATGCGCTCTTGCTCTCACGCACTCTGCTTTGTGCTCTCTCATTCCATCATGTGCCCTCTTGGGCTTGATTGCTCTTTCTCGCATGCCTTTGCACTCTCTTTCACTCTCACATTCCTCCTCTTTCTCTTGTCCTTTTTTGTTTGGCTGGTTGGTTGCTTTTTTTTCCCTTAAGACCCTCACCTTATTCAGTTCACAGTATGGCTGTGATTTGAGGCTGAATTGGGTTGTGTTGTGAAGAAAACTGCTGGGTATAGTCTTTATTCAAAAGAAAGAGTGAATTTACAGAAAACACTGAACACTGCAAGTGAATAATTTTTGTTGCTAATCAAATAACATTATCAGAAGTTTCACCAATGCTGTTGCATCATTTAGTTATGCCAATGTGAAGTTAATTCTTGGGAGCATACCTGTGTCTTAAAGATGTTCGTTCTGAATATGAGAATTACTGTATAACACAAATTTGTATCTAATAGCATCACTGTTTTGGTCTTATGACCCTTTGGTCTAATCACTTTTTGTCACAGGTTTTTGTTTCCACATTGATGCCACATCCTCTCACAGATGTTGTCAATGTAGATTAATGTTTCCTCAGCCTGCAGAAACTACAGCAATTCTTGGATAATTTTTTCTTGAATGTTTCTCTCTTGAGAACTAAATTTGAATAGTGTTCAGTAAATAACTCTTAGTTCACTGAACAAAGAGATGAAAGCAAAATTGTTCTTTCCTGATAAGCATTTCTGGTGCTCTTCAGTGTATGCCTTGAGTACTGAATTAGGTTCCACGTAGCAAGAACAGTAATTATGTGCTTGGGCATTACCAAGTCATTACCTTTATGTATAACTGAGTAATTTCCACCCATGACCTTTGCTTTTGCTTTATTAAACTGTCTTTCTCTTGACCCACGAGGGTTTTTTCCATCTTCCATAATTTTGTTTCCCCTACCCTGCTGAGGAGGGGAGCAACAGAGTGGCTTGGTAGGGACATGACCTTCAGTGAGGGCAACCCACACCACTGGGGCATGATACTGTGTGAATTTCACGTAAGGTTAAAATTAGTAAACTTTCTAATGCTGTACTGACTTATAAATTTTGTGGGTATCCTGTGTGTGCACAACCTAGATTAGCATGTTGTTTCTTAAAAAGATACAAATAAATACCAGGTCGTCTGTACATCTGAAGCTGACAGTTTTTACCTCTAATGCATAAGGTTTTTTAATCGAAGTATTAAGAAGCTACATTATATGAAGCCATGATCTGAAATAGGCACTATATTTTATCATATTTCTGTTGACTTTTTTAAAATGTATGTATCTTTGTTTTAGGTTTGTAACAGTGTGTTTAACAGCTGGGATCAATTCAAAGATCACTTGGTAATACACACCGGTGACAAACCCAACCACTGTACCCTATGTGATTTGTGGTTTATGCAAGGCAGTGAGCTGAGAAGGCATCTCAAAGAAATTCACAGTATTTCAGAGCGAATAGTGACAGAAGAGGTTCTTCCAGTGGAAGCTGAACCAGTAACATCAATGACTATAATAGAGCAAGTGGAGCAAGTCCATGTTCTTCCAGTAATTCAGGTACAAGTGGATCCTGCGCAGGTAACTGTGGAACAGATGCACCGGGATCTCATACAGGACAATCAAGTGAAAGACACACAGGTGGATGAACTGCAAGAACAGATGCAGATTAGTTACTTGGAAGTCGAACACATTCAGACTGAACAAGGTGCTGAAGTTCATGTGGAGCAGTTACATGTTGAGCATGTAAATCAGATACAGATGGAAGAAGTACAGGCAGAACTTATAGATGGAACAGAACTTGAACAAGTAGAATATGAAAGTGTTGATCAAGGAAAAGCAGAAGAAAAGAAACCTAATCAAGTAGATGGTGGAGATAAGGAAGATCATGAACAAGCTGAAGGCTTAAAGACTCAACAGTTAGTGGACATGCAGAACAAAAAGGTGAACAACTAGGACAAGTAACAACACTGTGCAGATACATGAATTAAATACCAAGTTATTTTTGTTAACTTTTACGTTGGGTTTTGAATTGTCAGTGGGCACATTTCCAATATGCTGTCCTTAGGAAGCTCACAAGTGGACCAAAGTTAGCTTTCTTCATCTAAAACTAAACTTTTCAAAGTGTGAAAAACAACTTACCCATTTATGTAATACCATGAAACAGAAGCTACCACAGACACGGACAGCTTTATGAGGATTTTAAGAATGAGTAACTTGTACATTGTTACACCATCCCTGGATATATGAAAGAGTAACTTTACCTCTTTTCCTCTTGCAGTACAAGCAAACTCTTGTTACAAATTCACAGGGTCTGTGGCAGAAGAATCAGTAAAGCCTGGTGGGTTCTGTTGTAAACGGCAGTCAGCTACCTATGAATTTTTCGATCAGGCCGCTGTTTCCCTAAAGTGGTCCCTAACTTTCAGGCTGGAGAACAAATGGTGGTGGAGGTTTCTGAGCACAAAAAGCCTGTGCCTTTTTACACTGACTCATTAAATTTCCATAGAGTTCTTAGCATTCAAGATCTTAGTTCAGTAAAAGGCAGCTTAGGTAATGTTATAGCGCTTTATATTTTTGCTTAAAATTGTCAGCTACTGATTTTGCTTTTTTTTTTTTTTTTTGCCTTTTTTTTTTTTTTGCATCAATTTTAGAGGTAGGGGGGATTGAGGTAGGAAACTGCCTCCACAGGGAGGCAGCAGGACACTTTAAAACAGGAAGAGCTCAACTGAATCTGTGGTAAACCTGAGCTGGAAGAGCTACTATCAGACTCTTCTTTCATAAATTGTCATTTTCTAAAATGAGTATGTTTAAACACAGAGACTTGTCTATATGGTATCACATTCCTGTTTTATTTAAATGAATTCTGACACGACGCAAAGATGTGCTAAACATAAAAGTAAAAGCCATAGGTATGAGTGCTAAACTGTCAATTGAAAAGTAGAAGTGTAAATAATTTAATCAATGACAATAAAACAATGCCAACCATGAAATGTTGCATTATTTATTTCATCCAATAACTTAGGAACAACTGACTGGCAATTACAGTGCCAGAGTCTTCCAAGAATCAGTCTGATTTTTAGTAAGATTAATAGCTCTTTACTGTAAAGTTAGATTTGTTTAGAAAACAATTGCCTAGCTCTATGTTCAAGGATGCTAAGGACTTCTAATTCTCAGTTACTGCCTTGGGATTAGAACTGCTCCACAATTCTGAAAATCTGTCTTTCCAAAGCCTTAACTGAAGGAAGGATTTTTTGCAAGGATGTTTCCTAATGCTCTTGGTAATCATGTAGATCTTAGTTAAAATCAGGGTTTTTTATTCAGTGTTCTCCAAATGCAGAATTTGCAGATTTGTGCTTTTACTCTCATTCAAAATTATTCTTCTGTTTCATCATAGACTTTGAGAAATTGTTGCAAACCAAACATGGATCTCAATTAAAACTTCAAACAACCTGATTAACATAACTTGCATTCTTTTTTATTATACTTTGTGTTTTCGAAGATGCAAGTAATATGGGATAAAATTCTGTGCAGAAGCAAGAATGTGGCTGAATGTTAATCATGAAAGTAAAAGTTGGCTGTTGTATTTATACCTGGCTTCTGGTAAGAACAACACAGAGGGGACAGCCCTGCTTCCATAGCTGTATACTCCAATTTTTTAGGTATTTGTGCACACAGTCACAACATTTGTATCTGCAGAATTAAAGGAACAATCTGGCTATGTGTCTAAATGAACTTGTAAGTAATTTAAGTCCAATGCAAATTGGGTAGTTAGGTGGTACTGGTAGCAGGGCTGGGGTTTGGTAAGCACAGTTTGGCTATTTCTTTGTTCTGTTTGATCTCCCCTTTTCAGCAATGGTTCACAGATTTGGCATGGAAGAAATAATGCTCTGCCCCGTGCTACCTCATCTGGACTCCTGCAGAGTTCGGTGGGGCCATGAGCCATCCCCTCCTCACCCTGAGGGGTAGCGGAGAATTAACGCTGCTGGTGAGCCTTTCCCTTTGCAGCCCCCTGTAATTACCTTCCCAAATGTCTGAAGCCCAAATTGCTACCACTACTGGATTCCCTCATGCCTCCTTACTGCCACTGGAGGATGCTGGGGGTGTCAGAGTCTGCCTGCTGTCTGGAACAGCCACCTTCCCATTCTCTTTCTGCTCCAAATGTCAGTGTAGATACACAGACCTCTCAGAACTCTGCTTTACCTACACACCACTGGAGAAGTTCTTCCTTCTGGTCCCTAGTGCCCTGTATTAGTCAGGTGCTGGTCTGTTGCTTGCAGTGAGGCAGCATGTTTGGGTTTATGACAAAACTCATCAGCTAAAGCAGTGGTGTCTAGTCAATAAGAACAGAAAAGTGGAAGTGGACAAAGATCCGTGAGGTGTTTCTGGATATAAATTGAGCATCAAATTGAGACCAAGGTTAGAGGTAGATTTATATGTGACATTCATGAGAGGCCATAAGTTATTTTTGAAAACAGGGCATGGAGGGGAAAGTGAGGTGATTTATAGTTTGAGAGATGCTGAGTTATTCAGGCAATATAAGAAAGGACTAGCTGCCTCTTTTTTTTTTTTTTTTTTTTTTTTGAAAACTTCCTGAATCAAAGTATCTTCCCTCTGCAGTTCATTTGGTTGTTTACTTTCAAGGGTTGACCTATCTCTTCTATAGGGACTACCATGAAAATGTAATGCACGGTTAATTTTGTTGTTGCACTGCTAGCAAATAATTTAAAAATTAAAGCAACCTGTTTGTAATGACAGTACAAGTACTTTGTTGTTTGCTGAACAGCTGGCAGCTGGGCCCTCTCCTGACCCTCCAGCTCAGCCCTGTGAGCATCCTTACCACGGTTCTGTGCAGAGGGTGAGAGCTGCTTGTGCAACTCACAGGAATATTTTGCATGACAGGTTTTTCTTATAACTGGAGCCTTGATATCTGAAACTCGTCTGGGTCTTCTCTTCCCATTCCTTTAAATGAGGGGTGGCAGCCCTTTGAGGAAATAAATTATATCACTAAAAGACCTGAAGCTAGGAACGGGGTGCAGCATGTAGCTCCGAGGGTGCGGGTCTCAAGAGGACCTGGAGGGTGTAAGTGGGATGAAGAGGGCTGAGCCTGCCGCTGCCACTAGCGCTGTCAAAGGTTCAGACAAAAGCCGATGGTGCTGGCACCCTCAGACGGGCCGCCAGCCCCTCAGCCTGGTACCATCCCCGTCGGCCCGGTTATTAGCCAGGCAGGAAGGCCTGTCCTCGCCGCGAGAAGGGAAGAGGAGGGAGGCGGGCAAATGGCGGTCCGGCTGACAGGAGCAAATGGCAGGCAGCGGGCAGGGGCTGCGGGCGGCGTCCCTGAGGCCGGTGATACATCCACCGTCCTCTGTGGGTGGGGCTGCACCAGGTTATAGCCGCGAACACGTCGCCGCGTTCAGAGCGTTCAGAGGAAAGGTCAGAAAGAGGAACGTATGGGCCGCTATACTTTTGATGAGGAAAGAATGCCTTTTAGGTAGCATATGTCCTGTATGCAAATTATCATGCAAATTAAAACAAAGTGGTATTGAAATTATTATGGCTTCTCCGCAGCGAGCTCCGAGGGGAAGCTCCTTCACACCGGCGGGGTCTCCCCCCGCCCCGGTTTCAGCGCAGGGAGGTGCGGAACGCAGCTCCGCTCCCAGGCAAAGGCCGCCAGAGCCGGCGGCGCTGGCACTGCAGGCACCCGCGCACCGCCTCCCGCCCGCCGCCTCCGGCCTGGCAGGCATCGCCTCCCCTTCCCTCGGCCCGACGAGCAGCCCTGAAGGTGAAGTTACGCTAGGGTGGGGAACGAAACAAATGAGGGCACGTGGGTTTAAACCACGCTGTCGAGCAGTGGGATTAGCTCCTTGCAGGTGGAACGGCACACAACTTTTACGTGGCCAGTCACAGCCTCCGGTGTTATTCCGAAGCCCTAGAAGTCAGAAGTGTTTTCTTCTCTTGCTGATTTTTACTGAAAGGCCTGGAATAAACCTCGGCCTTTAGAACCTTCCAGCATGGCTCTTCTCTGTGTTTGGAAAAAATGTATTCCTTTGTGCATCTGTCTTTTGGGACACTTGGCAAATATTAATTAGCTGAGCTTCTGAGTGTGCCTGTAAAGTAGGTAAATGGCTTTTACTTTCCTTTTTCTTTGCTGTACCTTATTGTGGTTACAGAGAGTAAATAATTGTGCAAGCAGGCAGCAGCGTAACTGAAAAGTGTCCAGATTCCTGGCTTTCTTTTGTAAAGCATAAAACCGAAGGCTCTTCTCATTGCAAGGAAAACAAGTTACTGTTGTGATAAACACATAAATGTATTGGCTTTTGCAAATCCTAGGTGTTACTATGTGGATATAACTGCATGAGTTTGCAAAACTCTCTAAAGACACAAGATTAGACAGCAAATTGAAAATGGCCAGAACTCTTGAGCAAAATGGAGTCACATAGCAAAAGAATTTGTAAAGGTAAAAGAAGGGGGGGGCTTGATATAAGAAAACCTAGTGCCTAGAAAACATAGGGTTAAAGTACTTTTAGCCTAACTTAGGTCAAAGATAAAGAACAATGTTTGTGTTGTAAATCTGTGGAATTTAGTGGCCCCACTAAACATGTGTAAATTATTTCACACCATCCTTAGATACTCCTTTAATTGTGCCAAAGGTGAAAAGTACACTGCGAGGAAGACTGCTTCCTTCATCTTGAAGACCTCTACTCACATGAGGAAGACTGCTTACTTCATCCTCAAGATGCCTGCCCACTATCACCTGGAGAGCAGTACACAGACTCCAAGAGGAGGAGACATATGATAATAAGTTCCTGGAGCTAGTTATAATATTCTCCGCCTATACGTGGGAATTATGAATATGTATATGACTAATGCAATAGTGAAAGTATATGAACCTGTATCAAACACTAATCAGTACGCCGCTGGCTATGGTCATGTGCCCAGGGCTGTTGCTTTTTTTTTATTGACTTTGTCCTGCAATAAATTCCTCTTATCTCGATTAGAGGAGTGAGCTCGTATTTCACACTGTTTTGAGAAAGATGACTCCAAAAGAGAAATCAGTGTGTCTCTTGCTTGAAAGCTTGGAGGACTCTGCCTAATGTGTAAAGCATAGGGTAATACTCACTTTATTATGTTTATCAAACAAATACGTATTTGCACTCACTAGCCTGGAAGATTAATTGGAAACACTAATATTTTCTAAGAAGTTAACACTAATATTGTCTAAGAAGTTACACATTTCAGATAACATCCAAGGATGCTCATTGCTTCCAGCATTCTTTCGTAAATTGAGCCTCCCCTTCTGGTTGTAATTTGGTATTTTAAAATGCAGAGAGAGTTAGAGATTATACCAATCCAGATATCTTCAGTGAAATCACTTAGTATGTCTGTGTTACTGATAGATCTTGTTAATGCTGCACGGAGACTGATCTGCTGGGAGCGGATCAGTGGCATACATTTTCTGCTGGTTGTCATGACAACCATAAATCCATGCCGCTGTACTGTGTTAATCTGTGTAATTTAATCCAGTTTCCAGATTAGGTCATCAATATTGAGAGCTGTTAGATAACCACTGGTTTAAATGCTGCTCTCCATTCTCTTCTCTTAAAATAGTGCCTGGAGTCCAACTGGTGCACCTACAAGGAAGATGCATTGCGACATCTAGGAAAGACAGAGCCACAGAGCAATTTATTGCTGTTATAGCAGTGTATAACTTGGCTCTGTGTCCCAAGCCTGGTATTTTTCAGGTGTTTACAATAAGCCATTGTTCTTAGTCTAAATTATTATGTTATTTATGTTTTAGAGATTGTATCAGCAGTGTTAGGACTCTTTAGCCCCTCATCAATCATAATGTGATTATTACACTGTTCTACAATGAGTGCTGATAGTATTTAGTAGCTTTTAAAGCTTTTGTTGCAATATGAGAAAATACTTAACCTGGAAGGAGGTTAGAAGACATGAGTATTCCCTGTAAGGCGATTGGCCATGCGTGAAAACTCAAATGGCACTGAACAGTTCGGGAGAACTCCTTGTGTGAATTGATCCTCAGCTATAAATCCCTCTTTAATTATTTTACAATTACTACGTTATCACTTACATAGTTTTCCCTCTAGATTGCTGCAGTGAGCATCAGTGTTTGTGAAAGCTTTAATGAAGTCAAGGTAACCATGCCCAGATCATGTGTGAGAGATGGCCTATTTGAGACGCTGCACTTGTGTAAAATGACAGCCCCCCCCCAATGCTGTTTTCTGTACAGTCCAGCTGAATGAATGGGATTTTCTGCATCATGGAGGAAGTGATTGTGTGGTGGTTGTGTTCAGTGCCCTGCTAGGCCACCATGAATTGAGTTAATTCTGGTCTGAGACTGACAGCGTGAAACTGCGCTACTGGTTACAAAGGGAGGATCCCCCAGTGCTTCTAATTCTTTGTTTTATTTTTCTATACAACAAAGTCACGTAACTTGTTTTTTTTCTTACTGGTTACAGGTTCCACAGAATCCTCATTTAGAATCTTGGTTTTGCTGAAGTCAAGTTGAAGAGTCTCTGTCATGCCCAAGTCTGCTCTGATACTCAGAAGATGCAAAAATTATACTGTAGGATTGAGCCTGGGGTTCTGCTCTTGAAGTTCCACTTCTCTGGCCAAGCATGCCATAATTGCAGTGAAGGACAGCTGATCACTTTCCAGCATCGATAAATATAACACTGAAAATGAGTAGTCAGTGTTTAAATCCCAGTGGTTCGTTTTCATGTGCATTTAGTAGAGAAGTCTTGCTTTTCCAAATGCAGTGAAACAAATGCAGGAATGAATGTCAGGAAACAGTTTATATGCTTGCTGCCTCAGCCTGGTGATAAACCATAGAGGTCCTCTCTCTTCTCCCTCACTTCCTCTTCCTTGGGGTGTCATGCTGCAGTTTGTACTGGCAGCCTTGGGCTGCTCTCCCCACAGTAGGTGATTACCTCTACTCCAACTTGAGCTGCAGAGGGAAGGGGAGGGTGGGAAGCAGTGAGACTGTGCAATCTTTTTTCTTAAATTCTTGTTTCTAGTTCTACTAATTTACTGTATCTTAGGTTTTTCTTTCTAAGAATGGGAAAGGAAAAAACAGTTTTGAGAAGTAGTTTTAATCCTTGGAAGGTAGCTCTGACATGAATTTCTGATGTGTCTTACTAGAGAGTAATTTTGGGAGTAAAAGTGAAAATAGTATTTTAAAGGTTCTAAGGGTCTGGAAGATATAAATGTTGATTTGTGAACACAATGCCTTTGTATTTTTCATTTTAGTAACTTCTTATTGATGTTGCCTTCATAAAGGCCATCATGAAGAAAACTTGCCCCTTGTCTCATAGTCTGTAGCATGTTTATGCTATGTGGGTGCATCGCACAGCTGCACCACTGCACTAAAACACTGCAAAACTTTGTGCCTGTATGTATTGTATGTATGTTTGGAAGGAACTAAATTCATTGCAGGTTTCCTTTATGTGTGCTGCTGCAGAGAGGAGTTAAGGCAGCTGCACTTTTCATCCTTAAGGACTTGTATTTATCACTGGAGCTGCATTTCTGCAGGTGTCTAGAGGCTGGGGGTGCACGTGGAGGGCTCCCCTGAGGATGGGGACATTTGTGACATCTTGAAAAATGCTCAGATTCCAGCAGGATCAGGTATAAAAAAACATCAAAGGAAAGCATTTCAGCAGTAGTGCTAATGCAGTGTCAGCTCTTTTGCAGGATTTCAATGAATTTTTATCTTAATTGAAGTGTAATCAGCTCCGTTTGGTGGAGGAGATTTGTCTTGACAACAGCTCAGTTGTAATTAACATGGACAACTTCTTGCATCAGTGATGAAGATTTTTATTGAAGTATTTTATTTCAGAGCCTTCTTGCTTAGTCTTCCTTGGTTTGTTGGGTTTGTTTTGTTGTTTTTTTTTACTCCCTTATGCTTTTTTCTGTCACAGACCCGTTTTTGCTTCTTGATGCTACATGAAACAGCTGGTATCCTGCTAAGTAGAACAAAAAGATGTACATTTCCTTCCAGAATCAAGTGCTGGAGCATCAGTAAAAGCTGGGTTTGGCCTTTTTCCCAGATGTGGATTATATTATCCTCTTTTCTGTTCTTGGTATCTGGTGAGCCAGGATTTGATGACCTCCCAAGGTCATGTTTGGCAGAACAATGAAAGCTTGGAGGTAATGGATACCCAGAAGCTAGCCTTATAATTCACATGAAAATGCAGTCATCAAGCAAAATATATTGAGTATATATGCAAATATAGACTGGAGTTGCCAAATTATTTTGTATTGAATGGTCAGACCAAGCTCCTTGTAACTGAGGCTTAATTCTTGCTAATCGTCACATTACTTCATTTGGGTATCTTGCACAGAGCTATTCCCATATGCCTGATGCTGAGGAGCTATTTCTTTACTTTTCCTCACTTGAGGGGGTGATAGTCGGGTACATAAACTTTATGTATAGATTGCTATATAGGTCTGAATCACAGTGGGTGAATTGCCCTCCTCCCACCTCTCTAGAAACTTGCCTTAATGGTGCTGACAATTTTCAAGGCAGACCTGTAGGACAGTTTAGCAGTGACAGCATTCTCCTGTGTGGTGAAAGACTGTGTCTGAAACCCTCCTGCAGAGTTTAGGATAGGGATTCAAATACAGCACCAAAGTCTGAATAGGCACTCCTGTCATGAGTCTACTTCATGCTAACTCTTTTGACCTTGGTTCTGTTTGTTTTGTTTTATTTAAAAACATGAAAGTTGGTTTGATCCACATGTGGAGTAACTTCAGGTTCTTTAAAGAAACTTGTCTTTGTCAGCTCCATGTAACCAACTTATGAGGCAATACAGGACATTTACAAAATGAGAAACTGTCTTTGCACATTGACTCTTATGCCATTCACATGGAAAAGATATTGGTGTCAGTGAGACTTAAAAGTAGAGCCAGTGCATCACAAACATGAAGAATGTGGTTCCCTTAACAGATGTGTTGTTTCAGAAATTGTTTCCATCAGAGAAAAGCCTTGTCAGTTTCCTTGTTTTCCTCTTCATTATTTTTCCTCTGTTCAGTCTGATCTGAGAACTTATTAGTAGTAAAGCATTTACATGGCTGGTTGAATAAAATAAATGATTTTGAGTGTACTGTGTTGCACTGGACTGGCCACAGTGATAGCAATATTTAATTGGAAAGCGCTGCAGCTGCTGGCTCCACACCATCTGGGAATGAGTGAGAGAAGCTGTTGCCACAGACCTGCACTGCATGCTTTGCTTTCGTCAGGCAAGTGAGGAACAAGCACTGATGGTCTGTGAGGAGTGAAAAGCCAGTGTTAACAGTAGTGGATGCCTCAGTGGTGGTCAGAGCCAGTGTGGGAAGAAGAATTCTAGCAACCCTCAGTTCTCCAGCAGTTAGTGGTTTTTCTTGGATATTGCATGTGTGAGTCTGTGGTGGCTATCAGCCTACAGATAGTGTCTGTGTGATAGGTATATTTTAAGATTTGGTTGAATTTGGGATCAGAAGTGTGTGAAAGGAAATGTTTAATTAAGGGCTGTAGTTCAGGGGAAAAAAGTTGAGCAAGAACCCTTGAGGTCACAGACTTGCATCTGATGCTGCTTTTGTTTCAGTGGTTCTATCAAAGGACCATGTGTTACTCTGGCATGTGTGTCCATACAATGAGAGAGGCTTTCCTCTGATTTTATGTTACTGTTCAGGTCACCTTAGAGATAAGTGTAATTGTCTGTGAATGTAAGGAGAAATACTGAGAAAAGTTTTAAAATCAGAGCTAGTTTTGGAGAATGCACTTAAGCAAATGTGTGCTTTGAAGTCTTGCAGACTCAGCAGCAATCTTGGTATTGTGACTGGTGGTCTACAAAGAATGGTGATACAGTAAAGCTTGGTTTCTGACTGCACAAAAATGAGAATCAGTGCCTGGCTCATATCAGAGTCTTTCCACCAGGGACATGAGTTTCAGCTGGTAGGTACTGAGATCACAATTAGTTGCAGTACGGTTACACAGAAATTTTAACTTTCAGAAATACTTTGTGAAGACTTCCTAAATTTGGCAGTTTTAGCACTGGGACTTCAGTTTTTGTTTGTGTTCTCTGCCAGTCCTTCCAAAGGGAATTACAACATGGTGTATGTAAAGGATTTCAATGCTGTGAACAGGCATCATCTCCCAGGGCTTCCTGAATGTTAAAGCTGATTTGGACTCTGATTCTGTTTGCGTTTATAGGCAAGTTTTACATCTGCTACTATAATTCTCATATATGTAAACCATTCTGCTAATAGAGGGATTGACAAATGTGTTTCAGTATAGGTGGTATATGGAGATGCTCAAAAGATGTCTGTGTTTTATCTCAATCTTGGAGTGCAAATACTAGGTTATCTGGTGAAACTGTTTGAGGAAGGTTGAAAAATGCCTCTATTTTACATTTCTTGGAATTGGTATGTCAGAAAATAGAATAAAAGTTCTAGGTTGCTCTGAAATAATAATTGAAAGAAAATTTTGTTAGAAATGGAATTCTCATATAGGCTGAAGGAAGAGAACTCAGCTTCATCAGGCCATAGTAGAAGTCCCAGTATAAATGTTTTTAATCTGCTTCAATAGTATTATGGAAAATCCTGTCTTACATTCAGAGTTGTAATGCAAGAAATTCAGAATTAGCAAATATATTGCCAGTACTTCTTTACATGAGAAATTCCATGTTGACAGCAAAATGGAACAGGTGAACAGATGCCATCTTCATCGGGAATGAGACTCCATCATTTGGATCACAGCCATCAAGTTGGCAGCCTCAGTCCTCAGCAATCTTTCAATTCCCAGAGCATGTGAAACTTTGTGGTCAGCTATGTGTCAGCTTAGGCATACACTAACAACTCCTTAAAGCCGTTGGCTGAACGTATTTACTTCTCCAAAGTGAACTGTGCATACAACCAGTAATTTTGTGCATTTGCTTGTTATAATGGAAAAATATGAGAGACACCTTAAAGGAATACCAGGAGTATCATCATCTGGGGTAAAAAGCAAGAGCTGTGACATTGCCTAGAATGAACAATGGGTTAGTTAGTGTGCATACTTGGTTTTATGTTCATGAACAAGAAGACAGCAGAGTGTAGTAGGAGAGGTCGTCTTTTTGCTTTGCTTTTGATTTAATAGTGTGCACAAGTTGTGCATATGTTCAATTCTGTATCACACGTATGAAAAATAATGGAGTTCTAGATGGAGAGTGCAAGAGGTGCAGGATGTAGGCTTGATGCTGGTTTTAAGACAGAAGCAGGCTCTCAGAATAACAGTTCTCTGGTTTTTATATTGAGTACCAGTGTGATCGCTATGGTAAGTGACTATATCTTTGCCTTTTGAGTGGTTAGTGGTACCCACAAGTTTAAGTATGGGAGACAAAAATAGATTAAGTTCTTTCTTCCAGTGAACTGTGATGAGAAAATGTTCGTTCATGTCAGCTCTGTGGTTTAGAGGTTATGAGAATAATCTCTTTCCAGTCCTGTTGCCCTCTGCATGTTGTCACCAGATTAAGTAGTGTGATTAGCTGGATTTAAGTGCTAATTTTACAAAGAGAGTTCCAGAGACATGCATTTTGTATCTTGTGCTCTCTCACCTAGTGGTGTGGCACTGAGAGATATTGCTGTTATGGAGAGGCAGGACAGTACATATACTGTTAATGAAGGTTCAGTAAGAGACAAGCTTTTGGAGTAGCTGGAAGAATCAGTAA